GTATCTAGTCGAAGACATTACCCTTCAAAATTGAAAAAATTTCCCTCGTTCCCCGTAAATGGGGGAAATTTCCAAAAAAAAAACAAATTTAAAAATCCCTAATTTTCGAGATGTTTCAATTTTCAAAAAAAAAAAAAACCGCAATAACTTTTTCAAAATTGAACAAATCAATAAATTTTTTTTTATATAGATGCTTTATGTCTTTACTTATCATTTGGTATATTTTTTTTATAAATTTGACTCTAGACATGCCCACAGGGCGAAATTTAAAATGACAACTTTTTCAACTTAACTTTTGAAAGTGTTCCGGAAATACTGACACTTTTATATATATCTTAAATTAAAGCTAATGTAATGTACTTTAATTTGAAAAAAAAAAATTTGACCTCTGGACTTGTCTTCATGGTGAAAACGGCTACCGAATGCTATTTTTGTGTGAAAATTTTCGATTTTATAATTTACATTTTTTACTTTAAAGTGCTATAACTTTTTAAAAAATGTATGGATCAATACAATTTTTTCATGAGAAGTAGTATTTATATACATCTTTCATTGGATATACTTTTTTTTTAAATCAGACTATTTCCCTATATATGGGGGGGCTTAAAATATAAAAAATGCATATAGAATGTAGAACTTTTTCAACTTAACTTTTGAAAATGTTCCGGAAGGTCTGACACTTTTATATATATCTTAAATTAAAGTTAATGTAATGTACTTTAATTTGAAAAAAAAAAATTTGACCTCTGGACTTGTCTTCATGGTGAAAACGGCTACCGAATGCTATTTTTGTGTGAAAATTTTAGATTTTATAATTTACATTTTTAACTTTATTATGCTATAACTTTTTGAAAAATGTATGGATCGGTACAATTTTTGCATGAGAAGTAGTATTCATATACATCTTTCATTTGACATACTGTTTTTTTAAATCCGACCATTTCCCTATATATGGGGGGGCTTCAAATATAAAAAATGCATATAGAAAGTAGAACTTTTTCAACTTAACTTTTGAAAGTGTTTCGGAAATACTGACACTTTTATATATATCTTAAATTAAAGCTAATGTAATAGACTTTATTATGGAAAAAAAAAATTTCGGACTTTATTTTATCTTCATGGTGAAAATGGCTACCGAATATTATTTTTGTGTGAAAATTCTCGATTTTGTATTTTACATTTTTAACTTTATTATGCTATAACTTATTGAAAAGTGTATGGATCAACATAATTTTTTTATGAGAAATAATATTTTTTAATAATCCTTTTTTCATTCGACATACTTTATCTGAATCAGGATATTAATAACGAACTAGAAGATCATGTTGCTTTTGGAATAATCCACCAATTTTTTAAAATTAAACACTGTCTAAAGATTTGCATCGAAGAGTTTTTTTTTTTATTGTGATTTTAATCACTGTCAGTTATCATTATACTTGATCCAACTATGCCACGTCACCACTGTGCCGTCACCCCCCTGTACTGGCTTTTTTTAAATAAATCTAGTAGCCAACATTTAATTAATCACTCATATGTTTTTATATCGATTTATAAATGTGTATATACTTTTTTTTTAGATGCAATAAGTGAGTATTAGTATTAAATTTTTCAAATTATAAATGAAATTTATTATTTATTAATTACCTGTAATTTGATCGGTTTTATTTAACACTATTGACTCATACCATATAGCTACATAGATTGTTATGCACATCATTACTTATCTGAATGTTCTGATATTACATCACTTTGATAACTATTCCATTTTGTTTACCTAATGAATTATTTAACGTTTTAATAATAATTTATGTGTACTTATTAGGATGTGTTTTCTGTGGCAATCGAGTTCTATCAGGGTATAGGTATCATTTTCATACTAAATGTTGCAAAGGAAGATTATGTGAAGATGATTACAGTTCTCAAAGAGAAAATTGTTCTGTTTTAATATGTTGCAATTGCGACTCACGTGGATGTAATAACTATTAAACAAATATTTTTTTAATTTATAAAATGATTCTTTCAATGAGCAATCAATTCACGGCATAAATGTATATTATTTATACACTAAAAAAAGATATATAGGTAGGGTATTTTAGAGAGAGCTGGTTCCCCCCACCTCACCCACTCGCCCTCCTTCCAGTGGTGTTGGAGGAAGTGTACGAGGGGGGATTAAATCTAACGTAAACTAACCTAATGCAATGGCAGGAGGAACGACAAAACCCAACGAAAACTAACCGCACGTGCGTGTCGTCTGCTACGCGGTCGACACGCTGGTGGTGGCGGAAGGCGCCTCGTCCGAGGAGGCTGGATCCCGGGCGAACTGCGCGCTCAGCGCAGTCTCCGCCTGGATCCAGCAGGAGGGGAGCGGACTTAGCCTCGCCCTGGACAAGACCGAAGCGGTCTTGTTCACGGGCAGGTTCAAGTTTACACCTCCACGGCTCGCCGTGCTGGGGGTGGAGATCCCGCTTAAGGACTCCATGACTTATCTGGGCCTTGTTATAGATAAACGTCTAAAGTTCGGGCCGCACATTACTCGTGCGGCCTAACGGGCCCAGAAAGTCATGAATTCTTCTTCCTAGATTGGGCATGAGTCCCGCCAGGCACTCATGCCCAATCTAGGAAGACCTAGAGAGATGCGACGCAGACTTTTAGTCAGCGGGGTTTAATTTCGGGGTGATTCACAACGTGGTGGTGTGAGTTTTAAAGACGGCGTAGGCCGCCCTGAAGTAATACCTAACGGTAGTTCCAGGGCGGCCTACAACTAGGCAGGTCGTGTAAAAAAAAAAAAAAAGGGGAGGAGGAACGACGAAACCCAACAAAAACTAACCTAATGCAATGGGAGGGGGAACGACGAAACGTTACGTAAACTAACCTAATGCGGGGGGAGGGAGAGGATGAAACCTAACGTTTTCTAAGAATTTTATCATCAACTAGAAGACGCTTAGGTAAGCATATGTCTGACATCAAAGGTATCATAATATTATATAGCTAATAAGCGTCTGTAATTTTATAGGAAAAAATTATGACGCTGTCTGTGTATTATTAAATGTACAGCTATAATTTCTAAGAACTTTATCATCGACTAGCAGACGCTTAGGTAAGCATATTTCCAACATCGAATGTACAAATAATTTCTAAAAATTTTATCATCGACTACCAGACGCTTAGGTAAGCATATTTCCGACATCAATGGTATAATTATAGTATAATTCTCATAAGCGTCTGTAATTTTATATGAGAACAATTGCGTCGCTGTCTGTGTGTTATTAATATTTAATGTACAAATCATTTCTAAGAATTTTATTGTCGGCTATCAGACTCTTAGGTGATCATGTTTCCAACATCAAATGTACCACCGTACAGTAACGATCACTGTCGTATGCATTTTATGATAAAAATGACAACACATGGCATATTTCCAACATCAAAGGTATCATTATATTATATCGCTTATAATCGTCTGTAATTTTGTATGAGAACAATTGTGACGCTGTCTGTGTAATATTAAAAGTACAGCTATAATTTCTAAGAATTTTATCATCGACTAGCAGACGCTTAGGTAAGCATATGTCTGACATTAAAGGTATAATTATAGTAGAATGCTCATAAGCGTCTGTAAATTTATGGGAAATAATTGTGACGCTGTCTGTGTATCATTATATTATATCGCTTATAAGCGTCTGTAATTTTTTGGGAAAAATTTTATATTTAATAAACTAACAATGTTTTCTAAGAATTTTATCTTCAGCTACCAGACGCTTAGGTAAGCGTATTTCCAACATCAAAGGTACCACCGTACAGTAACGATCACTCTCATATGCATTTATTTTTACATAGTATTTAATCTATCTGCTTTTAATTTATGTAATAAATAAATGAAATATAATAAGGATAAGGTAGTAAAATAAATAACACATTTTTTTTAATAGTCAAATATATATTTAAGTAATCATTAATGTTTTGAAAATAAAATCTTTTAAATTATTTTTTGAAATAAAAACAAATTATAATATTTTATGAACTTCATTAGTCATAGGATTATATTCAAACATTTTGTCGTGTACAATTAAGCAATATGCTGTAGTGTTGGTCGGAAAATTTTCATCAGATTCAAATTCTAATCTAATATCTACTGGCGCATTTTTTAATTTTTCGTTTTGCCTCGAACAGTCAATGACAATGAGTGGTGCAGTTGTCTTGAATTCTGTTTTTGTCAGCATAGGACACGCCATCTCCTTTTCATAGAACGCCTCTTGGAATTGAGTGTACATGTGATATGGTGCAGCATACTTATCATTTGAAAATNCAGCATACTTATCATTTGAAAAGTCCATTCGCAAGTTATCATAGGGGTACGATTCCGAATTCAAGTATACTTTTAGAGATGATAACGAACAATGGTCAAATCTACTACTATCTTTGTTTATTTTGTTTTTTCTATCCACTTGAAAAGCTACAATAACAAATCTCGGGCTCTCAGTCTGCGATGAAGTTTTCACAGTCCAGGCTTGTCTTTTACTATTTGGTAGGCCGGGATTTTCATATAGATCCCAACTTTGAAATGCTATTTGAACGNTCCCAACTTCGAAATGCTATTTGAAGCGGTGTTGAGGTTTCCAGGATTTTGAGCATGTCTAACCGCATGGCATCCGACACACTTACATGTGGAACTTTCCATATAACTTTGCTCAAAATAATTTTACAACTTGATAAATTTTCAATTGTCGAGCAAATACAGTTTAAATCTGTACCACTCCGTTGCAATATTAAGTCTTGACGACAATTAACGATGACTTTTTTATGATCCTCGGCAAATCCTAATAATAACCTTAGAGGTATGCATACTTCGAATTTCATACTCGTATTTGCAGTTACAACACTCCAGCCAGCATTTTCAAACCTTGTATGATCATTCGGTGAAAAAGTGACGTATCCTTTTATTGTAGACATTATCCCAGGCATACGCAATCTATCTATTTCTATTGAGTTCAATAAATATCTTAATTCAGTGAAGCAGTGAGCTAGCCAATTGTTAACCAATTGTACATCTGAGCCGGCAGGAACTCCCGAGAGTTCTTCATCTATCAAGAGATAGGAATCACATGGAAGGGTGTAAACATCTTACTGTTGAATACATATTCGTATCTCATCATTATTTGATAGTGCGCTAACCGAAAACGGTTGATAGGAAAAATAAACCAATTTCACTATGCGGTCTTCATTGTACGGTGTTTCCATTACTTCTAAAATATCGTCCATTGTTAATTGTATATCCCAAAGCAGATAGAATGTCAAGGTTTTCACGTCGTATCTCTTCAACTAGTCGTTGTTTAATGATTGGTTTTTTAATATTACTCTTGGTTTTATTGAATCGAAGAGCCATCGCGTATATGTAAACGTATGGTAACAGGCTCACCTCTAAAGTTAATTGCTTTATCGTCTTGATCTGTTATTTTCACAGTTATAGAGTGTAGTTGATTGGATATTAATGGATAGTATATCAAATTTTTAGGATTTTCAACAATACGGTAACCAGCTGCCACTCCTGGATTAAACTCGTGAACCGTATGACTAGGAATTCCGTTATCAAATGCGCCATAAGCAGCGTTACAATTCATTTTTATACTAGTTAAATTATTTATGTTAGCAACTTGTTCCGATATATGTATTTTATTTGCGTCGAGTATTTTTTGATGAAAGCCTAAAATACCACCTATACTATTTTCAACGCTAAAATCTATCTGTCGGCTACGCTTTAACTCTGATTTTAAAGTGTTTTTATTAGCCTTCAACATTAATGAGATTTTATACGACTGAAGATGTTCTTCTAGATATTTACTAATGTCTTCAAGTTCATAAGTGCCTTCAGGCACTTTAATTTCTATGTTATTTTCAAGAAGCTCGTTTTTTGTATTTATCAAAGTGAATGTATTGTTTGACTTGTCAATATTAGGTATTGAATTACATCCGTCAAATCCCAACAACGCAACCTCTAGTGCTCCAGTGAATTCTATCGGTGGAAAAAAACTTGATATGACTTCCGACGTTATGTCATGCAGCGTAAGGGTCAGCGATTTGAGCATTGTGATTTTAAAAATTTTCAACACAGCTGACCACAAACGTTTGTGTTATATTTTTGTTTCTGATTATAATTGTATTTCACGCGCAATCCGGTGAAATATTTTTCAAGTTCCAGCGGAGGAGGTAAATTTCCAAAAGAATCAAAATACACCACGTCCTTGCTTTTCTTAAAATACGCTACCCAATGCGTTCCTTTCCCACGGTCAATGTCCAAATTAACAACTGAACTCTCGTATATTTCGGGCTTGACAGGCAAATTATCTCTCGAAAAGACACCGCGGAAATGACTGATTCCGAATGATTCAGCATATTTTATAATATCTAAATCGCTGAGTACACGTCACTTGGGTAGTGTCAATGCTAGTTTTTTTTATGTTTCAAATAGAATCCATCACCCTTCTTTTTCCCAGCATATGAATGCATTACCCATTTTCACTGGTTTATTCGAATTAACGTTTTTTTGACTTCGTGTGCAGCTCTTACAATACTCGATACTCCACCAGCCAACGATCCTAAAGCTGAAAGTCCAGCAAAAATAGGAATGAGTGGCAGCACACCACCAAATTTAGGTACTTTGATAGTGCGAGGTGTTTTAAATTTTTGTTTCTGCTTTACAGCAACACGAGCTGCTGCTAATGCTAAGTTTTCCGCACANAGCTGCCGCTAATGCCAAGTTTGCCGCACTGTTAATATCTTTTGAATTACGCATAGCTTTACGTCCAACTCGTAGTACACCACCAAAACCCATTCCAATCTTTCTTTTAGCTTTCATGGTATTTGTAACAGCATACGCAACAGCCTTTTCTCCAAATGAACTATCGTTCGCTTTTACGCGGTCCTAAGCACGTTTTTTCAACTCGTAATCAGCCAAATGCCGTTCTGATAAATCATTTGTTCTTGCGTATGCAATATCATGTTCACGACACGCTGCATCGAGTTTATTTATTCTAGGATCACCACGCGCTAGTCTTNGCTGCATCGAGTTTATTTATTCCAGGATCACCACGTGCTAGTCTTTTATTAAGTTTTGTGCCTGGTCCGCAATACTGATACCCTGGAACATGCATTTCAATAGGCAATCGATTAATTATTGAATTAACAATACCGCGTCCTACACTTCGCTTTGTCGCACGTCTTGTTCGCACCATTTTCAATTTATAACTGTAAAGGTTTTTTGAGTTTTTCATCATTTATACTCATTCGTTTGACGAGTAATAACGTGCGCTAATAATGTTTTTTGAGAAACAGAAACATACTCTATCAGTCGATAATGTCGTGAATCTTACAGACCCCATCGAGTCTAAACATGGACCACTGTTACCCAACACAATAAGATGCATAATATGTGGACCATCAAATTGTGGTAAAACAAATGTTATGTTTAAATTATTAACTGAGGAAAATGGATTGTNAAACAAATGTTATGTTTAAATTATTAACTGAGGAAAATGGTTTGCGGTTCGAGCACCTATACGTTTACACGAAAACCCCGGATCAGCATAAATATAAATTATTAGGTGAGATTATGGATAATGTGGTAAAATTATCCATGTTCACCAGCAGTGAAGACGTGCCACCACCCGAAAAATTAGAAGCAAACTCTGTATTTGTATTCGATGATGTGATTTGTGAAAAACAAATTCATATGACATCTTATTTTTGCCGAGGGCGACACAATGGTGTTGATAGTTTTTACCTAACACAGACGTATTCTAGAATTCCAAAACAACTGATAAGAGATAACACTAATATGATTATACTGTACAAACAAGATGAAACAAATCTCAAACACGTTTATGAAGATCATTGTTCCAGTGATATGAGTTTTAATGAATTCAAAGCAATGTGTTCACAATGTTGGAATAAAGGACGATATAGTTTCATTACTATAGTGAAAGATGATGACCTCAACAATGGTCGATATCGATGTGGACTTGATATATTCATAAAAATGACGCGAGTATAAAAAGACGACTCATACTGCTATATGTTTAGTTAATATCAAGATGTCGGATAAAGTGTTGAAAGAAATCATACGCTCTAAACAAAACATAAAAAATAAAATACAGTTAATTCATAGAAATGTTGAGAAATCGGAAAATTTTGTACGTACACATATGTCACCGCTGGTGACACCTCTTCAAGAAATAGCTAATCCAAATCGTGTTGAAATGGAAGAAAAGCAAAAGCATAGAAAGTCATTGTTTCGTCACTTGGGAAAAGCCCGTCCTATAGTAAAAACTGATCCAATTACATCCTTAACATTCGAAGAAAATGATATGATACAGAGCTCTAGCGAACCCTCTACATTTCAGGAAGAAGAAATAAAGATGGAAAGTTCAATAAAAAATGAACCTTCTACATTTCAGGAAGAAATAAAGACGGTAAATATCGATAAGCCTAAACGCTCGTTTTCCTGTGAAATGCAGCGAGAAGATTTTTCAAAGTAGTTGTTAGAAATGGACCCGGTTTACGGTTTAAAGTATGTAAAAGATAATGATTTTATCATGGGCAATACTACAGTTAAAATAACCGATGATTTTTCAACTATTAAAGTTGGGACATTAGCACCACGACCGCTAAGTTATGGGCTTTATCAATTATTATTTAAAAGTAAACCTGCAGTTGGTTCATTCAATAAAATGGATTTATCGGATTATAAAACTTTACTACTTTACACTAATGCCCATTTAGGTCGAGATGGAAAATTGAAATGTAATGTAGGTTATAAATATAAATACATCATTAGTAACTTGTTTCCTCCGAAAACAGGTAGTGGTGTGTTAACCTACAAAATTTTAAACAAAAGACCTAAAGAATACGTATATTGGAACGATCCTAATGAACTCATTGTTCGATTAGAACTTTTACACGCTGCAAGAAGTGCTGGAAATACAGGCATGGGAAACGAAATACTGTCAATAGAAGAAGAGTTACGAAAACTAGGTGTAATATCATGAGTAAAATAGCAGAGAAAGTAGCAAATGAATTACATAGACCGACTAAAAAAATATTTCCTAGAAGAAGAGTTGTATCGTACGGCAAAGATGACTTGTGGCAAGCAGATTTAGTAGATATGAAAAAATACTCTACAAAAAATAAAAATTTTACATTTATTTTAACGATAATCGATGTTTATACAAAATATGCCAAGGGCTGTGCCTTTAAAAAATAAGTCTAGTACAGAAGTCAAGTCAGCTTTTGAAAAAGTCTTGTTCAATAGATCTCCAAAAAACTTGCAAAGAGACCGAGGTTTAGAATTTTTCAACAAACATTTTCGGATGCTCATGAAAAACAAAAATATAAATCATTATTCAACCTACTCTACAATGAGAGCGGCTGTTGTGGAACGATTTAATAGAACACTTAAAGAAAAAATGTGGAAAAAATTTACTACCAATAGATCATATAGTTGGATAAACATTATAGCAGATTTAATAACAAATTACAATAATACAAAACATAGCACCATAGGAACAACTCCTAGTATAGCATCACGTATTCCTGGAAATGTCAGTTTTAAACGGCTACCTATTTTAAAATAAAATAAAAAGTTTAATATTGGAGATAAAGTTCGTCTGAGTAAACATAAAGCAGTATTTTCAAAAGGATACACACAAAATTGGACATCGGAAGTCTTTACAATCGCAAAAATTCGTGATACAAAACCTGTCATGTACGAACTGACAGATGAAAACAACAAAAAGTTTATAATTGGAAAATTTTACATATCTTGTGTAGAAGACGACTGATCTTGCTGGTTCATGGTTTTATTTATACGTGTAAATTATTAAATAATAAATTTATGGTTTTCAAAATGACAACTGCACGTCAATGATAATTAAAAACAAATGAGACATGACAAGAAGTGTTTCACCGGTTATATAGTAAAGAATAAAATACTACGTAGGCGGGAAACACATCCAGTGGTGTCATTTTTATCATAAAATGCATACGAAAGTGATCGTTACTGTACGGTGATACCTTTGATGTTGGAAATATGCTTACCTAAGCGTCTGGTAGTCGATGGTAAAATTCTGAGAAACTATAGCTATACATTTAATAATACACAGACAGCGCCACAATTATTTCCCATAAAATTACAGACGCTTATGAGCGATATAATATTATGATACCTTTCATGTCAGAAATATGCTTACCTAAGCGTCTGGTAGTCGATGGTAAAATTCTGAGAAACTATAGCTCTACATTTAATAATACAAAGACAGAATCGAAATTTTTTCCATAAAATTACATACGCTTATGATCGTTATACTATAAATATACCTTTGATGTCAGAATATGCTTACCTAAGCGTCGGGTAGTCGATGGCAAAATTCTTAGAAATTATTTGTACATTTGATGTTAGAAATATGCTTATCTAAGCGTCTGCTGGTCGAAGATAAAATTCATAGAAAACGTTGGGTTTCATCCTCTCGCACCTCCACCATTAGGTTAGTTTACGTAACGTTTCGTCGTTACCCCTCCCATTGCATTAGGTTAGTTTACGTTAGATTTAATCCCCCCCTCGTACACCTCCTCCAACAACACTGGTAGGATGGCGAGTGGGTGAGGCGGGAGGGAACCAGCTCTCTCTCTAAAATACCCTACTTATATATTTAATGAAATTATTCTATTTGTTAGTAATGAAACATTTTTCAAAATTCACCACATTTTACTATTCTACTGACATTTTTTACGTCGTTTAAACTATCCGAAATATCTTCCAATATCATATAGAAATTTCTTCTTCTCCTTTCGTTAAAATTTTCAACTGAATTTTCCTAGAAATATATTATTTTCCAATATGATTTATTATATATCCATTAAAATGAATTTACTATTATTTCTCCTAATCTGTTTTCAATACGTAGAATGGTTTGAGGTCATCTTACACGACCTCCTAACTATTGTCATATTTATTTGTGCATATAAGTCGCATCCTATATGCTCGTGATAGGTCTGTATCTACTTGATATTTAATTATGATAAAATTCAAATTTAATATGTTTTCATTATAATGCTTACATCTAATATTTATAATTTTAAACTCTCCATTTTGTATAAATTTTGTTGAACTAACTTTAGAAATTATTAGAGTTACATATTAAATTAAACTTTAAATAATTATTTAAAAAATCTAATGAAAATACTCAATAAAATGTGATGAATATACAATATAATATACAAGGATATAATTGCCTAATAAACGATCATTGCCTTGTCAAGTAAGGTATTAAACTCTTATTGAAACGTAAGTTGATGAATTACACATTCAAAGTGTAATACATAAAACAAATGTTTCTATGTAATGTAAGTAAAATTCATATACTCCTTATTTGCATAGAAAAAAAAAATTAAATTGAAATAATGGTTTTTCAATACTTTAGAAGAATCATTTGATAATCCGAAAATATATCAAAATATTTACTTTGAAATGAGTACTTAATAATGGTTGTATTAATTTATATTTTTATAGATATTCCAGTATATAAAAAACCTATAATAGTTCCGTGTGTAAACTGCAATGAAAATAAACCAAACCACAATGTTTCTTCAAAATGCCTACATTATTATTGTAAGGAATGTACAGAAGAAAAAGTCACAACTAATAGTCTGTGTAAACTTTGTTCAAAACCTTTAAAAGTTAACATTTTCAAAAAGTGGTATCATAAATTAGCTTCATTTCATTAATGTAACTGACATACAGATATTAGAACTGCTAACATCTTTATTATTTTTATTTTTACTTTAAATTTTAGCTATAAATAACCTTGGCTTTTAATTAATACTATTTTATATTAATTATTAACAATCTGTTTTTATTTATATTATTTAAAATTAATTTGAATATATACAATTACTAGACATATTTTTATTTAATTCTGTAACCAAGAATGTAACACATAGTTATAAAAATAAGCTACTCTTAATATATGATATTTTATGATGCAGAAAACAGGACTGTTAAATTTTGATTTACATATCTATCAATCACAATTTTTATAAAATTAAGAATACTAAGAACAATAAATGTAGTACAACACACGTTTTAAAAAAATAGTCACTTAATATTTTTTTGTAAAGTGAACTCATTCTCGGAGAAATAACAAAATATGTACGATTTTGAGTATTATAGAATAAACACAACTTTAGTTTTGTATAGTTATATTTTTAATAGGGTTTCTTAATTATAAACAACAATAAAATTTTTGTTATTATTATGAACATCATTTTAAGTTTAAGTTAAAATTGATAAATGTCACTTATCACATATACTGACTCATAAACATATGATAACATATTTATATTACTTAATGAATTAAAATCACCACCTATATTGGAATTTAAATTCCCATTTTAACTTTTATCCTTTATGGGAGTACCAACATAATTATTTAAATGTCAGCATACATATTCAAATAGTTCAAAAAAGTAGAAAATGATCCAACTAAGAAAATTACNTATTTTTCTATTAAATTGTTTAATATTTTTACTAATTATATTTAAATTTGTTAATTATTATTGAAATAAAAAGTAAATTTAAAATCTAAAAAAACTATTTTTTTATTATTAACATCAACAAATAGATTTATTTATGTGTTAAATTAGGTATATAAATACAATGTAGGTATTATCAACGTTTAATATTTAGTGCATGCAGTGAGAAAAATAGGTCTCTTCTCTCGTATATTTCAAAATTTTCTTGTATGCAATTACAGGTCTATTCT